TTTCTGCTGTGATATTCGGATGATAGGGTCAGAATTTGGCGTCAACAACATGAAAGCATGGATCCATCCTGCCTTGTATCAATGGTTCAGGCTGGTGGTGGTGGTGTCATGGTGTGGGGAATCTTTTCTTGGCACTCTTTGGGCCCCTTGGTACCAATTGAGCATCGTTGCAACGCCACAGCCTACCTGAGTATTGTTGCTGACCATGTCCATCCCTTTATGACCACAATGTACCCAACATCTGATGGCTACTTTCAGCAGGATAATGCGCCATGTCATAAAGCTGGAATCATCTCAGACTGGTTTCTTGAARATGACAATGAGTTCACTGTACTCAAAAGGCCTCCACAGTCACCAGATCTCAATCCAATAGAGCATCTTTGGGATGTGGTGGAACGGGAGATTCGCATCATGGATGTGCAGCCGACAAATCTGCGGCAACTATGTGATGCCATCATGTCAATATGGACCAAAATCTCTGAGGAATGCTTCCAGCACCTTGTTGAATCTATGCCACGAAGAATTGAGGCAGTTTTGAAGGCAAAAGGGGGTCCAACCCYTTACTAGCGTGGTGTACCTACTAAAGTGGCCGGTGAGTGTATATGTACTGGATTCAGATATTGCTTAGGTTTCTGTTTATTTAATTTACTTACATATTTATCTTTTTAAAGGGGCAATATTATGTGTTTCTCAGGCATATATTTAAATACTATACCATAATAAAGTATCTATGTCACCTTTAGCTGTTATTAAAATGCTGTTTTTATGTTTAAATAGAAAATAAACTTATCTTCTCATCACTTCCTCTTCTGAACGCCTTGAAATTGGCCTCTGTCTCTTTAAGAACCTCCTTCTGCTTCTGTCCCGCCCATTTCAGTGTGTAGGGGGGGGGTCGCACGCACGCTATGATGCATTTTACTTGGCATCTGAAAATACATTTCCTCAAAGGTATTTTTAATCTGAAAATGGCTTCACTCAGTGAGCAGTAGTGTGGAGAGCAGCTGACAGTTTAAGTTTCACTTTCACTTGTTTGCTTTGTTACTGTCGAGAGCCTGCAGGAGTCATGGGCGGGATGTGTGGGGTGGGGAGGTGTGCTCCGTGATGAGGAAGTTCGGCTTAAAGACACGTCCCAGGGGCATTTTTGGTCCCAAAAGGCGTTTCTAGTCCCCACCTGTCGTTTTGCTCCTCAGCATGGCTTCCTAAAAACGCTGCAGGATTTCTCAAACATGCATGAATGAGTCAAAGCAAGACTTTGGACATGTTTTTATGAGAGTATAACATAACATGATATAAAACTCAAAGTAGATTTTACATGATATTGCCCCTTTAAAAATACTTGTGGTCATATCACTCTCATACTGTTTAAAAACAAAATAATTAAATCGTAAATGCTGTATAATTTACCTTTTTTAGTACACATCCATTCAACTGAGCCTGTGAACTATGGTGCCTTAGTTTTGATATTTTTCAAATTTTCCTATTTTCCTTGTTTTCGACTTTCTTCCCATCTTCCTGGAGCCACTTTGTGAACGTCGTCATTGAGCATTTGCTACATGCTGACAGCGTTGATGTTTCACTCTTGCCTGTGGCAAGAAAGGGTTGACTCTGAAGAGAAAAGTGGGACAGTAGGAGGAAGTTAGTGAATGGGGGTAAAAAAAAATAAGAGAAACAGGTTTCAATTGTTTATAGTTCATGAAAATCTGGCAATCCAAAGTCCAAATTCTTTCTGAAATCCATCAAACATAAGTGAGGTAAGGTTTTATTGTTCTGAAGAGTTGATGACATGAGATTTAGCAATTTTATTTTTATTCAAAAGTGTTTTATTTGTTGGTCATTTGATTTTATTCCACCTCTTATTAAGCAGCAAAGTGTGTGTGTGTGCGTGCGTGCGTGCGCGCTGACAGAATGAGGTAAGCGGGACGTGGGTTTGATGAGGGGGAGTTGGCACGTGCAAGATGGGTTTCTTGTGGGCAACGTGACCACAGAGGAGTGGGTAGATCTCATTTTTTTTAGTTTGTGTTCTGCTGTCCATCTGTTAAAAGATGAGAGAGAGAGCTTCAGTATTCTGTTTCTGACCTTTTAATTATTACAGCACAAACATTAAAATTGAGTTTGTACTGGCTCCAAATGGGGGGGAAAAGGGATCAGAAATCCAAGATGATAAAATAAGCAACAGTTATTATTTACATTGGCTTGGTGTTTAGCAGCTTTAAAGGTACTGAGTGTTAGATTTGTCAATCTTCAGCTAATCTAACCTAATCTTCACTTAGTTACTTTGTCATCGCCTTGTTTTTTTTTTTTAATGGTGTAAAATACTCACATGCACAAGGAGCAGTAAATATGTCTATTCCATCAGAACACAATACAGCTGGAGCGGCCACACAAAGTCTGTTGTCCAAAGCAATAGTCATTTCCTGCCCAAATGAATCTCTGTCTAAATAATTACTGCTGGAAGAGCTGATGAAACAAGGCCAGACACTGGAGACGGTCATTTAATAAGGATTGATGCAGGTAATTTGTTGCTTTCTGTTATGTTCAGGCAGGATGGAATAAAAAAAACAAAACAAACTCCATGCCTGCAACAAGAGAGAGATTGTTTGGATCTTGCTGTGCTGGCATGATGGTGCCCATAGATAACGAAATTACAGTGAGCATGCGATGTCCGAGCAACTGCAGAGTTTGACTAAAAGACTGTGGGTGTTTTCATGTGACAACGTGAGTGTGATAAAAATAGAACTATGGGCAATATTATGTGTTTCTCAGGCATACATTTTAATACTATATCATAATAAAGTATCTATGTCACCTTTAGTTGTTATTAAAATGTGTCTAAATAGAAAATAAACGTATCTTCTCATCCCTTCCTCCTCTAAACGCCTTGAAATTGGCCTCTGTCTCTTTAAAAACCTCCTTCTGCTTCTGTCCCGACCCGTTCAGTGCAGGGGGGTTCGTGCGTGCGCTATGATGCAGTTTACTTGGCATCTGAAAATACATTTCCTCAAAGGTATTTTGAATCTGAAAAGAGCTTCACCGAGTGAGCAGTAGTAAGAGCAGCGGACAGTTAAGTTTCACTTTCACTTTGCTCTGTTACTGCCGGGAGCCTGCAGGAGTCATGGGCGGGGTGTGTGGGGTGGGAGGATGGGGAGGTGTGCTACGTGATGAGGATGTTCGGCTTAAAGACACGTCCCTGGGGCGTTTCTGGTCCCCAAAGGCGCTTCTGGTCCCCACCTGTCGTTTTGCTCCTCAGCACGGCTTCCTAAAAACACTGCAGGATTTCTTAAACATGCATGAATGAGTCAGAGCAAGGCTTTGGACATGTTTTTTATGAGAGTATAACATTATAACATGGTATAAAACTCAAAAAAGTTGATTTTACATGATATTGGAGCGGTGGCTGCACCACGGACAGGTCTACTGATAATTTAACACAAATCAAAATATTGGTTCTGAATTGGCATTAAATCTGACCTACTTTAGGTTTAAATAACTTAAATGTTTGTATCTGGATCATAGATTTGTAAAAGTATTCTTTATTAAGAGAACAAACTTTGAAAGTTTTTTTTTTTCCAGTTTTCCAGATCCCACAAACTGGGTCAATAGAATAAACTCCTGACTTATTATTGGACAAACTCTTTATACGTGCGTGTTTTCTCGCACAGCCTGAGGGGCTGTCACAGCTATTACCAGTTATTTGCTTCAGAGTTGAGCTGCTCCCTTATAGAACTTAGGAAAAATTGAAAAATCCCTCTAAATTGTGCACTTCAGATTTCTTTTTCTGAGAGATGCACACTGGGAATCTCTGCAGCACAGCACTGATGATTTCTCCCATTTACAACATGTACTGTACTTTAATTTGCATACTCTGCACACTCTCCTCAGCTTGTTTTATTACAAACTGTCCGTTTATATCATTCATTTGTCATTGTCCTGGGATAAATTCAGTGCTATCAGCAGTGTGATTAACTCAGTCTAAGATTTATTCACCACTGTTTAGATCAGTTTGGATCTCCTTGCTCAAAAAGCAGCACAAAGTGTTGAGTTTTTATCAGAACTTTTACCCTGAAATGCAAATTATATTACTGACATAAAGACTTGATTTCGAGTAAATGCACTGCTTGGAATGAAGTTGAACACTGCCTCCTTTTCTCTTAAAAGCAGTGGAGGCTAAATTATAAACTGAAAGTATTTAAGTTTAAATCTTGTTTATAAAATGTCAGTAGCTGAAATATATTAATTCTAAAAATGTGTAAACTAAAGATGAAGAACTAAAAGAATCACAATTTATTTTATTTCTTTACCTCAAAATGTAATTTGGTAAAATCCCAGTTTGGTCCAATGAGCTCTGTAATGATTTTCATCCATTTTTTTAAATTACAGTATAATTTAGATACTTTTGATTAAATACAGAACATCAGATTTAGTACAAACTTATGAAAAAATAAAAAAAAACTTTAATTTTTTTAACCTGTCTTAAGTAGCTTATTCTAATTTATATTTACTGACACAGTAAGGCAGCTGTTCTTCAAGACAGTGGAAGAGTAGGTATTTACAGTACTTGTAGAAATGTGGGTATTTTCTGCATTCCTTTTGTGTATTTTTACTGAAGTTTTAAAGTTCAAAGAGAATTAGTTTTAAGGAGAGAAAATTAGCATTTATTGTCAGAAGTTCAAGCTTGTTTTTACATCAAAAATCTGCTTTTGTCTTAATTTTAGGCATGTTTATATTAAACAAATACAACATACTGTGAAGACTTTAAATTGAGAATTAAAGCCCTTATGGAGGTAACCGGGACAAAGTTGATCAGTTCAGTGAACTTAATTGAACTGAATATGTTTTAGTGTAATTCAGGTTTCAACATGTTCCTCATGATGGTAAACATATATTTTAATGACTTAGTGACTTTGCAAATCTTGCATTTTTTAAAATTTAAAACACGAGTTCACATTATTTTTTTATAATATAAAAATTCTACGTAAACATTGTCTTTGTCTGTCCACTAGGCCCAGCTGGAGGCCCAGAAGGCCACTCAGGATTTCCACAGAGCCACCGAGGTTCTGCGGGCCGCAAAGGAAACCATCTCCCTGGCCGAGCAGAGGCTCCTGGAGGAGGACAACCGTCAGTTCGACTCCGCCTGGCAGGAGATGCTGAACCACGCCACTCAGCGGGTGAGGAGGGAACATTTAGAGACATCTGAGTAAAAAGAACATTTAGTTGGTTTCATCTCCGCTTTACCTCAGTGGTCCTGAGAAGGGTTTGTGAAAGAATCATAAGAGTTTCTACGATTTTAAAAAAAATGTAGCTCACAGAAAGCTGTGATTGGTCGTTACAGGTGATGGAGGCGGAGCACACCAAGACGAGAAGTGAGCTTTTACACAAGGAGACGGCGGCGAAATACACAGCAGCTACCGGCCGCATGAAGCAGCTGGAGAAGAAGCTGAAACGAACCATCAGCAAATCCAAGTAAGACCCTCAGTCTGCAGCTCAGCATGGAATTCTACTGTACATCAGCTGTGATGTAGCTCTTTTAAAATCAAGTTGGAAAATTAATCTTTTATAATGTCAATTATTTGGCAAAAATGTACAATTGACACAATAGTGCCTATAATGTGATGTGTAAAATATGCAAATCCTAAATGAAGGACAAGATCAACGCTGAGATGTGTGCTCAATGCCTGAATCATATAGCGTTGGCTTTCAGCTTGGCTGCACCGCTCGTCCTTGTCTGGTCCAGCATGTGGACGCAGTGAGGGGGGGCAGAGCTGCTCAGCCTCTAAAACAGACTGTCTGTGCACGAGTGACTGCTTGTGGTCATTTTAACCAAATGTTCTGCTGCAAACCAAAAAGGAGCCACGCATTGCTTCCTTTTTAACAGCTTCATCAATGCAACATTAATCAGACATTTAATGATTAAACATAAAACCTCAGCTTCCAGTCATCTCCCTGCAAATAGACTCTGCCCATCTGTCTGTCACTCATTAATTAAACACTGTAAAGTAGTTTTATTACAGTTGATGTGGAGCAGATAAAAACAGAACCAGGTGTTTCAGGTTTTAATAATTTGTGGATGTTGCACTTCTCTTTTCAGCTAAAACCCATTTAGTTTTGAAAGCAGTGAAACATGTGAGTCCAAACCACATCTAACCTGTTGGCTTAAATTAACAGGTGTTTAAAGAAGAAATGTGGCTAAATGTGGCAAAGTCACAAGCTGTGGAGCTGCTGCATCACCTTTTTCAACTTGTGATCTGCAGCGATGAATAATAAAGGTGCTTGAAGCAAAAAAAAGTACAAGGCTGAACCTAATATTCTGTTTTTTATTTATTTATTTATTTTTTAAATTTACTCAGAACCCTCCTCCTTGTCCTCTGTGTGTGTTCCATCACTGAGTGAGGCGGGGGCTTTGTCAGCCTCCTGTAGTCTCTGATCTGATTTTAAGACATGCAGGACATGCCTGGCCAAGTTGCACAGATTTCTTACCGCCACTTGGATGTGGAATTTTGCAATGTTTTGTATCAACTCCACACATAATCTCCAGTTATTTAACCTGACATCCTAAAAAGCATAATCTTAAATGTTTAGGTGCATACATAAACAACAAAACTCATAACTCAACTGTACATTTCCATAGGCCTGCAGGAGGACTTTAAAGGGATCCATGATTAGTTGTAACATTAGACTTTATTTAATAAACATATATTTTAACTGTAAAATAAAGACTGTAAAAATACTGTAGGATGTTCAGTTTTTTTAATCATTTTTAAACAAAAAGTTTAAAAATATATTACATGGACGGGGCCATTTTATTTACACGCAAAGCATTCTGGGTAAATGATGTTGTGGATAGGTCCTCAGTGCGAGGCTGCTAGCGAGCTATATCCACCCTGAAGGTTAATCTTGGACAATATCTGATGATCGACTCTTTTAAATGAAACCAGAGAGCGTTGACAGAGAGGAGAAYGTAGAAATGACTCAGCTTGTAACTGAAAATATAGATGGAGGACAACAGAGCTGCTTCATGGAAGAAGAACCTCAGCTTAGCCTGTTAGCGTTAGCACCGACACTATCACCAAATATATGTATTAGCTTAGCGCTACACATTCTCCTCTCGTCACAGAGGTCCTCCATCCACATGACAGAGAGGGGAACGTTGAAATGACTCAGCCTGCAACTGAAAATATGGATGGAGGACCTCAGTTTAGCTTGTTTGTCGTGCTAGCGCTGAGCTAATACATATAAGGCAATATGGCGTCGGCGCTAGCGCAAAGGCTAACAGGCCCATCCATATTTTCAGTTACAGGCTGAGTCATTTCTACCTTCTCCTCTCTGTCAACGCTCTCTGGTTTCATTTAAAAGAGTCGATCATCAAGGTCCAAGCTTAACCTTCAGGGTGAATTTATCTCGCTAGCAGCCTCGCACCAATGACCTAGTTGATGCCATTTACCCAGAATGCTTTGCGTGTAAATAAAATGGCTCTGTCTTTGTAATATATTTTTAAAAATTTATAAAACTAAACATCCTACTTTTACTGTCTTTATTTTACAGTTAAAATAAATGTTTGTCAAATAAAGTCCAATGTTACAGCTAATCATGGATCCATTTAAGAAATCTGCTTGTGCTTTCATATCCAAAAATCTGTTCGTTCTGGATATTTACTCAGAATTTTCTGACCCACATTTCAGCTCAACAGTGCGAACACTGAATATTAAAGGTCTGTTTTACCTCTCAAGTCCATTTAGGAAGTTCATTTCTTAAGTTTGGATTGATCTTGACCGAGTCGAACCTGAACAACAGTTGGATTTGAAGCTGCCAGAGTGTTAGAAAGCTACAGCATTGCTGCGTGTTGCCTCAGCGGGGTGTTGATTGGTTTTGCATGGCGCTCTCATCCAACATCATAATGCCTTTATCTCCTCTCCTCTGCCAGGTTGCTATGGTGATGTGGGTACTGCTCTTTTCTAGGACGATGTTTTCTACCCTCTTTAATCTAATCCTGACCTCCTCTCCTCCTCCATAAACAGGCCCTACTTTGAGATGAAGGCAAAGTACTACCTGCAGCTGGAGGTACGGAGTGACTTTAAACCAAACATTTGTCTTTAATGTTTCTAAAGAAATTGGAATGTTATGACCTTGACCACAAATGGTGATATGTTTTTTTTGTCTGTGTGCAAATTCTTTAGATAAAAAAATGTTTTATCTTAACTTGAGGCAGCTTTTCTTTGACAAATGCATGAGTTGCAGCTTTTTAAAATGTGTCTAATTAGGGCAAATTTCTTATCAAGCTGAAGGAACTCCTCTTTAAAAAAAATCTGCTTGGTGTTGAATTTTCAAATACGTGACCCATCACATCGAAACGAGGATTAAGTCAAATTTGTTCAAAATGACCTAATCATGTTTTCAGATTCCTGCTTTAAAAGCTACATTTTGATACTTAGATCACCCTGATATCATTAGTAGATCCAGAGATATTATTTAATTTGTCCTGTTTGTTACAGAAATACATAAATATTTGGTCTAAATCCTAATTTTATGTAATTTTAATGAGGATTTTTTATGTCATTTGAAAAAAGAAACCTCAAATAGTATTTGAATATTGAGATTTCCCAGCTGGAAAGAAACAAAAGCTTTGATAGCTTACAGGGAAAATCTCAACATTTTAAGGTGTTTTTCCTCAAAATCGTGTTTTTGTTTGCTACTGCTCAAAAAGGTGCTTCAAACAAATTTTTTTAGGATATTTCGTACAGTTCATTGAAATAATACATTTTTTATACTAATGCATTTTATTTATAAAGCGCCTTTCAGGACACCCAAGGACACTGTACAATAGAAAAAGAAAAAAAATGTAGATACATATATATACATAAGGTAGTGTGGGAGAAACAGAAATACGGAGTACAGAACAGTCATATAATAAAATACAAAAATGTAGACAAAGTGAACAATGGGGTTGTGGGGGGAGAAACAGAAGTGTGGACAACAAAAACAGACGTATTGAAAATAGGAATTAACAGTGGTACGCTAATTTGAAAAGATGTGTCTTCAGGCCAGTCTTAAACACACTTATAACACATTTGTTATTTTGACAAAATGTTATTTTTGCAAGCGTTTTAATCAAAACACTATATCTGCCTATTTCTCCACATAAAACTTTTAGACTTAATCCTCGTTTCGAAGTGATGGCTCAAATACCTCAGCACAAAAGCAACATCTTATTTTATGTGACAATTAAATCCTGAATTCAGAGCTATTTTCAGCCCTCCTCTCCTTGCCAGATCTAAGAGGGACTTTTGTCCTTCAGCATTTCTCCCTGCTGTCCTCTAACGTCTTCCTCCTCATCACTGCAGAACCTGAAGAAGAACGTGGACGAGCGGCAGGCCAAGCTGTCTCAGGCCAAAGGAGAGTACAAGACGGCTCTGAAGAACCTGGAGATGATCTCAGATGAAATCCACGAACGCCGCAGAATCTCCATCATGGGCCCTCGAAGACCCGGAGTCGGTGCCGAGGGGGACGGGGACGACCTCTCCGGCTTTAAGATGGAGTCGGACCAAATCTCCAGTGAGCACAATGTGACATTTCTCATATTATTCTGTGGTCTGTTCTTTGTAAATATTGAAGAGGGGTTCCTGCCTTTTGCTTTAGTGGTCCTCAGAAATGTCTCGGTACCAGAAAAGGTTGATTAGTAAAGATTAAACCTTTCTTCTTGCTGCTGGAATAACAAAAGCTCACCTGGTGACTCTTTAAATGTCAGACAGCTGCTGTAGTTTCACTTCTGAGCTTTGAACATAGAATATCATGCCACAAAAAACTGAAACTTTTAGACTTTTGATGACAAATCGTCTTGTTCTGTTCAAGTCACAGCCTGTAGAATGGAGAGTGGCTTTAAAAAAACATGTTTAACACAGTGATTCAGTTTAGATATGTCTGCTGAATGTTTTTCATTCTTGCCAAGTCTGATAAGAGTATAACTGCAGAAATAAAACAGGAAAACTGATGACATAAATGGGTAAAAGCTAATTTATTTACATGTAATGAGTTCGAGACAGCTCTGATAGAGACAGCTGTCATAAACACGAAGAATGCATTTCATGTTTTCTGGACATAAAAGCAGCCATTAAAACCTTTTATTCTACAGTCATGACTTTCATTTAAACATTTGGTAGCACTTAATAACGACACCTTAATTAGCCTTACTTAATCATTATATAAATAAATAAAAGGTTAGTTTGAAAACATCGTTAAGAATGATTCATACTTAATAAACTATGCATTAAGACATTTATTAATGCTTTACTCATGAAGGCTAATTACTTCCAAAACCATTGTAGTACTTGTTTATTCATGGTTAATAACACATGTGAAAGTACATATATACACAGTACACAGACTTGTTAATTCATGTGAAATGTAACACTATTATTTCATTACATTTCTTAATGATTTGTGAGAGCAAGTTAGCTTAATGTTGAATATTTTAACAGTTTCAACAGAATTGGCAGACGTCATTCAGAGTAAAGCATTATAGGTAAACTCAAAAATCAAAAAATTAAAATTTTTGTACTGGTATTTCACTGCTAAAACAAAATTTATAAGCTTGAAAACTGGAGATTTTAAAAAGAAAATCCACACAAAAAAGCTAGCTATTTATGTTTAGTTCACATTTTTAACTTCAGAATCAGAAATGTCAAATTTTTATTTTACAGCATTAGAAATACCTCAAAACTAGAAAAATAAAAGTCAACAAAATGAGTATCTGCTTCTTGCATCCCAATGTTGATACCATGGTAACAGCAGTCCAGTTCAGACGCTAAGCTAAGCAGGACATGAGACTCAAAATAACCTCCCACGCTGACTGTGCATTCACATGCTTTGATTTACTGTATGTGGTGAGAATAAGGTCTCACAGTGTGATGAGGCTGTTTAGAGTACTTTCAATTCTATCTATATATCTTTCTAGTTCAGGGGTCTGCAACCTTTATGATCAAAAGAGCCATTTCTGCTACTTGGCTCACTAATAAAATGTGTTCAGAGCCGCAAAACAAGCTACAACTACGATTATCAACTAGTGGGTCGTGGGCCTTTTTGAGGCCTTTTCATGAACTTATATGGCCAGTAGAGGTGACATTATAAAACTAAAAAAATCTATTGTGAATGTTATGTATTATTATTTAGCACATCAGGAAAAATGAAAAGATCATATTCATGAAAATGAAAAGATCATATTCATGTAAACAAGAAAAATACTGTTTAAAGTTTTTACTGAATTTCATAAAAACTAGTACAACTGAACTATTAAGGCATATTTTTTTCTAATTCTTATTATTATGTAGTCCAAATTCTTTAAAGGTAATTCTGATGGATTTGAGAGAAAGATCATAGAAAAAAGTTGGATTATTTAAGTAAACAACAGGCTAGCATGAGCTAACATGTTTTACTTTTTGTATTAGTATTAATCACATATTTGCATACAAATGATTTCTGTTGTGAGTATAAAAAACAATATATATATATGTATTCTGTTATGCTTGGTCACATTTTCAAAGAGCCACTGCAGTGGGACCAAAGAGCCGCATGTGGCCCCAGGGCCGCAGGTTGCAGACCCCTGCTCTAGTTTGTTATTCTTATCCTAATTCATCATATTTTCTAATCGTCTCTCTCCTGTTTGACTTTCTTCATCGTCCCGCCCTGCAGTGGCCTCAGAGTGCTTTGAGGACGACCTGTGCGTTGGTGGAAGCATCATGTCTGAGGAGGACTCTGAGACTCGCTCCACCAGCAGTCTTGGTTCAACTCCCAGCAGCCCTCAGGAGATGCTGTCGCCATGCCCCTTCGCCAGCTCCTCTTCCTCCTCCTCCTCCGGCATGTCTTCTTCTGCCTCTCCGTCACCCACACCCTCCTCCTCCTCCTCCACGTCCTCCCCGACTCTCCTGTCCAGGCCCTGCAGCCTGGACCTCCCCAGCACCGTGTCCCTGTCGGACTTCGGCCTCATCTCGCCGGTGCTCGGACCTCGCAGCGAGTGCAGTGGGGCGTCGTCGCCCGAATACGACCTGGAGCGAGGTGAGCGATGGATACAGCTTAGGCTTACAAAAGGGAAAAAGCTCTCCCTAACTGTTTTTACACACGGGAGCAGGAAAAACAAGACTAAAGTGAGATGGATGAAATTTCAGGGTCTATTTTGGGTTAGGTGCTCGATCTCACACTGCCTGCGTGGCTCCCACCTGCTCCTCGAAAACGCAATATTCATCAAAGTGACAACAAGCTAGGCCACTCGTGTGCCGAGACAAAAACTCATCAGTGATCTGTTTTCAGAGAGGAAATTGTTCACAATGCTTCAGTCAGTTTTAATGAAGATCTTTGAGCTGTGCTGCTGCTGTCCCACCTTCACTGTCAGGACAGTTTGTGTCTCATCCCAAAAGAAAAAAAAGCCCTAAATATCATGAACCATTGAACAAGTTTGAATGAAATTTATAGGAAGAATTTCGATACAATCAGTACAACCAGTGTTGTATAAAGTACCTAAAAGTGATACTTGAGTAAAAGTACAAGTATCTTATCATAAAAATATTCTGGTAAAAGTTAGTCTTCTCTAAGAATATTGAGTAAAAGTCAAATTTCTGATATTTTTTGTACATAAGTATCAAAAGTAAATTTCTGACACTAAATCTTCTTGATTTGATTTGATTTATTTATTTAACAGGAAATTATTATTAAAAATCAAGCCTGACTCAGCATACTTGCTGTTTTACAGCAGGTTGCTGTTCTGCAGCACATAAAACACTCAGAATTACAGCATCACAATCACATCATTATACACCATAGACTCAAAGACAAACAAGCATACCAAATTTCAAAAAGGCAGCATTTGCAAAATAGGACATCTAAATATGAGCACAACAAAAAGTGTCCAGCAGATGGCAGACAAGATTCTTCTTAAAGGGCTGTAGTTTTGAAATGGACTTTATGTTTTGAGGAATGTCATTCCATGCTTTAGTATAAACATAGAAGAAAGACCTCTGGCTGTAACAGTTTTTAAAAGTTGGTAATATCAGTTGTCCTTTTGTAACAGATCTAGTTGAATGACCACTTCCAGAATTTGATTTGGGCAGCAATGCACAGAGAGTTCCATAATTGGCACCTTGGAAGATCTGAAAATATAAATTAATACCACTATACAAAACATAATTCTGAAAAGTCAAGGCATCAGACAATGAAAGAACTATACAGTGATGAGTCCAACCAGGAAGTTTTTTATGAATTTTGTAGGCCCTGTTGTAGAGCCTAACTATGGGTTCTAAGATTTCATTTGTTGTAAGAGACCAAACAGGTAAACAGTACAACATGGTTGAGAGTATAATGGCATGAAGATAGATATTTGAAACAGAAGATGTCAGATTGGATCTAATTTTTGAATAAACTTATAATTTRMGTTTCAACTTAGTGGTTAAGACTTGTACATGATCACGATAAGTCAAATGAGAATCAAAAGTAATTCCAAAATATTTGTAGGTAGTGATAATATCAAGGGGTTTGTTTAAAAAAGTGAGTTGATTTGTCATATTGAAATGTCTCCTGGGTGAGGAAAAATACATTCACACAGTGTTTTAAACATTAATTGACAAGATTATGTACAGTAAGTATTAAAAGTAAAAGTACTGAGTAAAAGTGAGCAGTTAGATTTTCCAAAATGACGTTTATTGGGAGGTGACTTCTCCAAAAAAAACTTTTTCTAATGGCGTGCAGCTGTGATGGGTTGTGTACAAGCTAATATGGTGTCAGAATGGTATATACAGTATTTATACTTCTCATCCAACCACAATTAAATTCACTCTATCCAGGAGACACAATTTATCAGGATAGTATTTTTTTAAAGTAATAACTCAGAATAAAATAGGAGTAACGACTTTCTACTTCTTACCTTTTTTAAAAAATGTAAGGAGTAGAAAGTACAGATAATTGTGTGAAAATGTAATGAGTAAAAGTAAAAAGTACGCTGAAAAATAATTACTCAAGTAAAGTACAGATAATCAAACTTTCTACTTAAGTACAGTAACAAAGTATTTGTACTTTACAACTCTGAGTACAACTGATTTAATTATTGAATCCTGAAAAACTGCAGGTGGTTTGCACTCCTTCAAGGAAAGCTGGGCCTTTTATTGAGTTTAATAAACAAAGATTTACTAGCTATGTTTAGTTTTAAGGTGGGTAAATATATACATTAAAGAAAATGGCTAGATTCTTGCTGTTTGCTCCCTTAAATAAAGAATAGTTAAAACCTTAGACCAGGGGCGTCAAATTAATTTTCCCTAAAGGCCACGAACATAATGGTGGCCCTCAAAGGGCAAGTTGTAATTAACTTTGCTTCATGTTTAACTTTGGCTAAACAGAAAACGTCACGTTCCACCGCTAGCAAACAATAACTGAGCTCTACGTGGTATTTCCTGCATAGAAACAGCGTTTTAACACGTCCGCTTCAAAAACTGAAAAGTATTACGTGTACAGCTGACTAAATGTGAAATAAATACAGAAACATTATTAAAAGTAAAGAGTTTTACTCGATAGTAAATACAGGTCTTTTTAACTAAGTTACTCAGGGAGCCATGGTTATTGAAAGCCAAGCTCTCATCCTTCACCTTTTTAAATTATTTAAAGTTACTATTGATATAAAAACTATTTTTTATATGTAGCAAAAATTTTTTAAAAAAATCAGACTTTTGGCGGGCCAGAAAGAAGTCACCCGTGGGCTGAATTTGGCCTGCGGGCCTTGTGTTTGACCCATGGGTTTTAGACTGACCGGCTTCTTCTCTGCAGGCGATCGAGCTGAAGGCGCAGAGGGGGATCTGGACAACACACCGCCTGGAAACAACAACAGCAGCAGCAGCATCTCAACTTCCAACATCAAGAAAACCTTTACATTGGAGACGCGCTTTAGCTTTCTCAACCTGCGACGCCCGCGGGCCAATGGCATCAAAAACAAGGACAGCTGTCCCCAGAAGCTGGAGCAGAATGTCCTCCTTGTCAAATAAGTCTGGGGAGGTCTGGGAGGACTGTAAATCTGCATTTAGTCTCATTCTGAACCAAAAACTCAAAGTTATAGGCTGTTTACAAAGGTACCTACCACTACTCCAACCCATCTCATAGACTCTGAATGTGATGGTGTAAATCAATCTCTTCCTGTACGTTTCGGCACCTTTGGCACACATGGACTCATACGCCAGTGAGATGTTAAGCACTATTATGTTGGAAATGTGTTTTTCTTTCTCCACTAAAAAAGGGTTTTAGTCATAAATGCTGCCGACTTTCAACCTTTGACTTGGATCAACCTGCTGTTACTGATAGAAATAGACTTTATTACAGTTGAACTGCTATAAACCATACAGACATGTTCTGTTAACAGAACTTAAGACACACAGTGGAGAAAAAAAATGCTTTTAGCCTTCTGCCTTGTAGCTCTGTATTTAATGTTGTATTTTCTGATGTTTGTGACACATGTTTAGGATTCAATTGTAAAAAAAAAAAAAAGTTGGATAATAACTACAAATAAAGAGTAATAAAACTTTGACTTTTCATGCCGGTTATTTCATAATTTGAATATTTAAAGTTGAGATATTTGAGTCTATTTCAGTAAAGAGAAGCAGCCCTTTTGGGTCAAACCTTGTAAATGATGTGGATGAATCCCAGCTACTACCACGCTAAATTCTAGCCTAATTTCTGTAAATCAGATTGATTGAAGCCATTTTTGCAACTTTTCGAAAAACTACATGCATCTATAGACGAACCTTTTAAAGCACTTTTCAAACTTGAAGCTGCCTAAATGTTCAGGGTTTTTTTTTGTCACACAACTTGTGACATCAATTTTGCATTAGCCACTTTATAGATTTAAATCATATAATAGATCCAAACATAAAACAGTAGCTTGCGTTTGTTTCCTAGAAACAGGCTTCTAAAACTATAACAAAATCAGTAATTCACTTAAACAGCAAATATATTTTCGTGGGAATTTATTGCCCTTTCTGCTAAGCCTAAAAGTCTCTTTTGTGCAAGGCCTGTGTCACAGAAATAAAACACTTTTCTGGTGGGGGGGAGTGGAAATGCACAAATGTAATTAGAGTTTATGTTCTATATTTTCCACCAGGGAAACATTTTTATCTCTGCCTCCGGAGGCCGTTTGTTCTGATTGTTACGGCCGGCTCCAAGCCGCAACAAAATAGGGAGACGAGGCGTGTTAAAATATCAAAACAAAAGCATTTATTTAAACTAAACTAAGAGTAAAAGAAAAAAATGAAAGATGGTGCTCCGCTGCACGCGACGCCAGTCCGTGCCACGCGCCCAGAGCATGGTGGAAGGAAGGAGGAAGAGGAGGACGCCAAACCAGTCCACGCCCACGACTGCAGACGCCCTTCTGAATGTACAGCCGGTCGCTCTCTCCCTCTGCGAGTCGCGCCCTGTGCGTCCTGTCCTGTGCGTCTTTTTCTGTGCGTCCTGTGGGTCGCTTATATCAGGCCCTCTTAATCCAGAACACCTGCGCAAAAGAGAAAAGAGGGCAGGCGC